CACACACACACACACACACGGTGCAATGCAACTTGCGACGGGAGACATTCAATTCGGCATACAGTTCTCTTGTACAGACGGGGTGGGGGTGAGACAGAGTAGAATCGTGTTGAAAGTTGTCAGCTGGTAGTCTCCAATTTCGAAAACTAGATTTCAGCCTTCACTGTACTCGTAACCACAACTTGAGGCACGCACACACGCAATCTGCGAGAAGAAGATAATCACCCACCTGATGAGGTGCATCTCTGCCATGTTGGTGAGAAAGAAGGGTGTGCAGTGCGAGGTTTTTTTATCGATCAGTGATAACTATCTGTTTAAGTTGAACGGAAACTCTTCTGGGCAAAGAGACAGTGTTGGAGAACCGTTTTTCAACCAGTTACGGGTAAAATGATCGGGTGAACGCTAACTTTCTCGAGATGTATACATGTATGTATGTATGCATCAAAATACAATAATCTACTTAACTATACGCCTGTTCCGAAATAATTATTAACAATAGATTTACCATTTACACGGATACCTTCACATTGTGTACTAGTAAGAATCTATTGTAATACAAATGAATAATTGTTAACGATGAGCACTAACTGTCCAGCATTGCCTATTCATTTTCGCACCAATCCACTTTCCGCAGCTTTTCACCTCAGGTTTGTTGCGTATACAAAACGATATCTTCACGCGATTTGTTATTCCGATGCGTTATTTGCGAATTTTGTCGTTTAAATTTTACTCGGTAGTTTTTTTAAAATTTTTATGAGTTTGAACTAGCTCGAAAATTGCTCGCTTGCCGTCAGTTGATGTATTTATACTTCCAATAATATATATATATATATATATATATATATATATATATATTAACCTTTGAAATTGAATCAAATCCTCCATTACTCATTTGAAACAAGTAGTCAGGTTGTGAATGTTTCCAACCGAGACATACCTCCGGAGGCTAATGTTGAGATAAGTGAGGTCTGTGGCCTGCAACAAGCTCTCAAAGATGAGTTGTGCTATATCGTGTAAATTGATGATGAAAAATGGTCTGATCAGCTGCCCCGAGGTGGCCGAGTGGGTAGCATGCTTGCGTTCTACATGTGAGACGGTCTTGGGTTCGCGATCCCCAGTCGTGGGTCGATGGATTCGCTCACTGCTGTTGCTGAGACCCCCAATCAGATGGAAACACCTGTCCAGTGGTGCTTCCTAGCTTTCCTGGATTCGCGCTTCATTTGCTCTATACACGATGAACTCGCCTTTGAAATATACCCATATATTTACAAACATATACATTACCTTTTAGAGTTTATTTCAAACGCCAATCCAATAAACCCAAATATTTGAACCTGTGACACAACTTAACTCTCTCTCTCCCATTACCCAATTTTCCCCTCTCCGCGACCATTCCAGTGCTTCCGAAATTCAAACCCGTCTCGATTGCTGCGGTGAATGAACCGCTGACAGTCAACCTCGATGACAGTCCCGCGGCACCGTGTAAAAACGCTCTGCACAGTCCGACCTTGCACGTAAAACCGGCCAGCATTGGGACTCGGTTTTTCGATCGGAGTTCGGACAGTGCGTTCTCGTCCCAATACGACACCAGTCCACGCAGTTCCAGCGGGTCGTCCAATCCTTCCGAACTGGCCTCCCTATCCACCACGCAAGTGCCCATTATTATCGGGGATCGGGTCTATGTGGGACCATCACGACTGACCGGCACGGTTGCCTACATGGGTCCGACCCACTTCGCTGCCGGGGATATGGTCGGTACGTACGTAAACACAAAGTGTTATCTGGCTATTGTGTTCAAAGTTGTTGAAACCAGACAAAAGGATAGATCTGGCCGTTTGTGTATATGCAAAGAACGTGGTTGGCACTTGATTTGCACATCTATAAATCATTCACACTAATCTTATACTAAACAATTTTTTTGCGCAGGTGAAGGAGAATACTCTACAACACGCATGATTTGGAACAGCACAAAGTGAGGCAAAATCAAAAGGAATAGATTCTTCTGATTTTTGTGAGAATTGCTGCTCCTGGGTGGT